TGTTGGTCCATTATCAAGCAAAAGGTGAGCAGGGGTGGAGGAGAAACAATAGCTTCAGACTTGGAGTCTATTGGAAAAGAGATTGCAAAGAAATGTGGAGGGATTCCATTGCTTGCTAAAGTTTTGGGAGGAACTCTTCACGGAAAGCAGGCACAGGAGTGGCAGTCAATTCTAAAGAGTAGAATTTGGGATTCTCGGGATGGAGATAAAGCTTTGCGCATATTGAGACTCAGTTTTGATCACCTGTCATCGCCATCACTGAAAAAATGTTTTGCATACTGTTCTATTTTTCCTAAAGATTTTAAAATTGAAAGGGAAGAGCTAATTCAACTTTGGATGGCTGAAGGTTTTCTCAGGCCATCAAATGGGAGGATGGAAGACGAAGGCAACAAGTGTTTCAATGACTTGCTTGCAAATTCCTTTTTCCAAGATGTTGAAAGGAATGAGTGTGAGATCGTAACAAGCTGCAAGATGCATGATCTTGTGCATGATCTTGCATTGCAGGTCTCAAAATCAGAAGTGTTAAATCTGGAGGAGGATTCGGCTGTTGATGGTGCATCTCATATTCGTCATCTAAATCGCATGTCTCGTGGGGATGATGAGGCAGCATTAACAGCGGTTGATGCTAGAAAATTGCGAACTGTTTTCTCAATGGTTGATGTATTGAATGGATCTTGGAAATTCAAAAGCTTGAGAACTCTCAAATTGCGAGGGTCTGGTATCACAGAGTTACCAGATTCGATTTGCAAGCTGAGACATTTGAGATATCTTGATGTCTCGGATACTGCTATCAGAGCATTGCCGGAATCCATCACCAAGCTGTACCATTTGGAAACATTAAGATTCACTGATTGCAAGTCACTAGAAAAGCTTCCCAAGAAGATGAGGAATTTAGTGAGCTTGAGACATCTTCATTTTGATGATCTAAAGCTAGTGCCAGATGAGGTGAGACTCTTAACACGCCTTCAAACTCTGCCTTTATTTGCTGTGGGTCCAGATCATATGGTTGAAGAGCTGGGATGTTTGAATGAACTAAGAGGAGAATTGCAGATAAGCAAGCTTGAGCAAGTGAGAGACAAGGAAGAAGCTGAGAAGGCAAAACTGCGTGAAAAAAGAATGCACAAATTGGTGTTTGAATGGAGTGATGATGAAGGTAACAGCAGTGTCAATAGCGAGGATGTGCTGGAAGGCCTGCAGCCTCACCCAGACATAAGAAGCTTGACAATTGAGGGTTATGGAGGTGAAAATTTCTCATCATGGATATTGCAACTCAATAATCTGATGGTGCTGAGATTGAATGGCTGCAGCAAGTTGAGGCAACTCCCAACACTTGGATGTCTTCCTCGCCTTAAGATTCTATATATGAATGGAATGCCTAATGTGAAATGTATAGGCAATGAGTTCTACAGCAGCGGTGACAGAGCAGCAGTACTGTTTCCAGCACTGAAAAAACTCACTCTATCCAGGATGGATGGTCTTGAAGAATGGATGGTACCAGGTGGAGAAGTTGTTGCAGTATTTCCTTGTCTTGAAAAGTTGAGCATTAAGGGGTGTAGACAGTTGAAAAGCATTTCGATATGTGGTCTTTCATCTCTCGTAGAATTTAAAATTGACGGATGTGATGAACTGAGATATTTGCCTGGTGAGTTTCATGGCTTCACGTCTCTTCGAGTTTTAAGTATACAGAGATGTCCAAAGCTGGCATCCATTCCAAGCGTACAACACTGCACAGCTCTGGTGGAATTTGATATATGGAGCTGCGGTGAGTTGATCTCAATTCCTGGTGATTTCCGAGAATTGAAATATTCTTTGAAGAGATTGATTGTTGATGGGTGTAAATTGGGAGCTCTTCCAAGCGGACTGCAATGGTGCGCATCTCTAGAGAAATTATCAATAGTTCGTTGGAGTGAGCTTAACCATATCAGTGATTTGCAAGAATTGTCTTCGCTTCAAGGATTAGAGATTATACGTTGTGATAAGCTCATCAGTATTGATTGGCATGGTTTACGACAATTGCCTTCTCTTGTTCAATTAGAAATCACCACGTGTCCCAGTTTGAGTGATTTCCCAGAGGATGATTGCTTAGGCGGCCTCACCCAACTGGAGAGACTGGGCATCGGTGGTTTCTCAGAGGAGATGGAGGCTTTTCCTGCAGGAGTTTTAAACTCAATCCACCATCTCAATTTGAGTGGGTCCCTCAAACACCTAACGATAGATGGATGGGATAAACTGAAGACTGTACCCCATCAACTTCAACACCTCACTGCCCTCGAGACATTGGAAATAGCTGATTTCAACAGTGAGGAGTTTGAGGAAGCATTGCCAGAATGGATGGCCAACCTTTCTTCTCTTCAATCTCTTTGGATTATGGATTGCAAGAATCTCAAGTATATGCCAAGTTCAACAGCCATTCAACGCCTCTCCAAATTAAAGCGATTGCATATCGGGTGGGGATGTCCGCATCTATCACAAAATTGCAGAAAGGAGTATGGCTCTGAGTGGCCCAAGATTTCTCATATCCCATCAATCATAATAGATTAATTTTTTTCCTAAAATGAGACCCTTTTTTTTTTCAAGATTTATAGGAGTACGCATATCTTTGGAAAATGCAACATATTATTATTTTATTGATTAATTTTTATTTATAGAATATTATATTTATGATAAATATCTTAAATATTTTATTTTATTTTTTAATTTTTTATTGACAAAGAAATAAATAAAGACCTATTTATTTTTATTATCATTTATTTTAAATTTATTTTATCTTTTTATGTGAAAATAAAATGAAAATGATATGCAACTAGTTTTTATTGTTAAATTTTTTTGGTTCCATAGGGTTGACTAGACTTTCTTTAAATTTCTGAAATTTCCATAGAGGGGAGAAGATGAAGATGAGTTATGGCAAAAAGAGAGAAATTAGGGGATTTGTTTTTCATAATTTGGTGATAAAGTTGTAACATTAAATTATTAAATGTTGGACTTTTTAGTTATTAAATCAATTATAATAAAAATCCTCCAATTTTTTCAAAGTTTTTATTGACTAATTTTTTGGGCGTTCAAGTTAGCATTAAGATACTTGAAAACTACGGAAAAAAGAGAGAGCAATATATAGAGTAATTTTCTCCTCTTAAAAGGAAGGTAGGAAACGAGCAATCACTGAGTTCACAAATTATATTAATTATCCCTAAAGCCATCAGAGCTGTAACATAATAAATGGCTCAACAAATTTATGAAGCAGAAAAAATATGTAGCATCCATTGCATCGTCAAATTTACAGGAAATAAAAAAAAATAGCAGAAAATTCCAGATTTTAGAGGAGAAATTCAAAAAAGTAAAATCCTAGAAAAAAACCGTCCGGATAACAGATTATGGAGATATGGTACGGTACCGGATATGATTTAAAATATTTTTTTATATTTTTAAAAATTATTTTTAATGTTAATATATTAAAACCATATAAAAATATAATAAAATTTAATTTTAAATAAAAAAATAGAAAATGTTAAAAATATAGTTTCAATCCTAATTTCATGCACAAACCGAAGTCTATGTACTGACACTACTTTCTTAGATTCATTGTCCATTTGTGCGTGTCAAGAGAATATAGAGAGAGGGAGGGACCCTCTGCTTTCAAGTTGTCTACAGGCCTTGATGGATATGGACACTCAAGATAAGAAGGTAGGGTCATTTTCTTCGCCTTTGCATGACTAATTTGAAAGCAGTGTTTCGTGGAAGATGCTGCCAGCTGCAATCAATTAATTGATACAGTGAAGGAGGGACCCTCTGCTTTCAAGTTGAATGCATCTCCCCATTCCAAAACGCACTTCATTTCATCCCTCCATCACAACTTCCAGACCCTTCTTCTCTCTCTTTTGCTCAATCTTTCTTCCTAGATTTCCCAAAGAAAACAAGAGAACATGGCGGCAGAGCTTTTTCTTACGTTTGCCATGGAGGAGACTTTGACAAGGGTCATTTCCATAGCTGCTGAAGGGATCGGACTTGCCTGGGGATTGGAGGGACAGCTGCTAAAGCTCGAAGAGTCATTGACCATGATCCAAGCTGTGCTCCAAGATGCAGCCAGAAGGCCAGTAACAGACAAGTCTGCGAAGCTTTGGCTGGAGAAGCTACAAGATTTAGCTTACGATGCTGAAGATGTTCTAGACGAGTTTGCTTGTGAGATTCTCCGAAAAGACCAAAAGAAGGGAAAGGTACGTGGCTGCTTTTCACTGCACAACCCGGTTGCATTCCGTCTGAATATGGGTCAGAAAGTTAAGGAGATCAATGGATCACTGGATGAGATTCAGAAACTTGCAATTGGCTGTGGGCTGGGAATTGCATCTCAACATGTAGAGAGTGCTCCTGAAGTTATTCGAGATATAGACCGAGAGACAGATTCCTTGCTTGAAAGCTCAGAAGTTGTAGTAGGAAGGGAGGATGATGTCTCTAAAGTTATGAAATTGCTGATTGGCTCGATCGGTCAACAAGTTCTGTCTGTTGTCCCTATTGTTGGGATGGCAGGTCTTGGAAAGACTACCATAGCAAAGAAAGTTTGTCAATTAGCGAGGGAGAAAAACCATTTTGATGTGATTCTATGGGTTTGTGTCTCTATTTCAGTAAAAGGAGGATATTAGGAGAGATGTTGCAAAAGATTGATAAATCTACTGGTGGGTTGAGCAATCTAGATGCAATTATGGAAAACCTTAAGAAAAAGCTGGAAAAGAAAGCACTTCTTCTTGTTCTTGACGACGTGTGGAATGAAGACCATGCTAAGTGGGATGATTTGAAGGAGCAACTGTTCAAAGTTAACAGCAAGAATGGGAATGCTGTTGTTGTTACAACCCGCAGTAAGAAAGTAGCAGACATGATGAAGACTGCTCCAGGGAGTCAGCACGAGCCAGGAAAACTATCAGATGATCAATGTTGGTCCATTATCAAGCAAAAGGTGAGCAGGGGTGGACGAGAAACAATACCTTCACGCTTCGAGTCTATTGGAGAAGAGATTGCAAAGAAAAGTGGAGGGATTCCATTGCTTGCTAAAGTTTTGGGAGGAACTCTTCAAAGAAAGCAGGCAGAACAGTAGAATTTGGGATTCTCCGGATGGAGATAAAGCTTTGCGCGTATTGAGACTCAGTTTTGATTACCTGTCATCGCCAACACTGAAAAAATGTTTTGCATACTGTTCCATTTTTCCTAAAGATTTTGAAATTAAAAGGGAAGAGCTAATTCAACTTTGGATGGCTGAAGGTTTTCT